CGATCTCCTCACCACCTCTAAAGGTTTCTGGAATGGTGTCTTTAATAACAATTAGACCAATGCGATTAGAACGCTCCCACTTTTCATGGACAGCCTTATATTCCGGAGGGCTGTCATCCGTAGGAGAAGCAGGTTTGTCCATCCTTAGCGCAAGGTCAAGATCCATACACCCAAGCAAAATCTTAACTTTACTTTTCCATTCAGGAAAATTAGAGCCCGTAAGTGTTGGAATGGATCCTAAGTTGGCAGACAGTGTAGCTGAAAAGAGAGAGAACAAAAAATAAAATTAACTCACCATCCGAAGAAATCAACAATAAATTTTAACTGATTATACTTCCCATCCAAGATACCAAATGTAACATAAATATCAAGTCTTTGGACAGTAATATTGACTACTAACGGTCCTCTTGTTGTAATGATCAAATACTAACAATAATTCATGATAAACAATAAACCTTCCTTTGGGCCGATTTATTATTCATATGTTAAAGACCATATAATTGTCATGCATTTATCATCACAAGTGTGTGTACAATTCGGCCAAACATTAAACCTTCCTTTGGGCCGATTTAATGTCTGCATGAATATTGCACACACGTATATATGTAAGTCCGGCCAAATACAACCTTCGTTTGGGCCGATTAAATATTCGCCATTAACTTACATACATACTTACTTTAATAATTCTCATGAATAATCTCCTCAAGAGAGGTCTTCCTTTGGGCTGACATCTTGATTTGATTAAACAATTAAATTATTAAAGATATATAATCAAATTTATTTATTGATTTAAAACTGAACTTTATTCTTGCGCAGACATAATAACTACAGGTCTGTGGGCTCTTTATGCAAGAATACTTAAGCGGGAGAGTGGTTGGAGACACCATATGGGGCGTTAGCATTTATCACGTGACCTGGGTTCAAATCCCAGCCTATGCGTTTTTTAACTTAATTAAAAGCTAGACGGGCCTTACTTAATATTTATTCCAAATTGGCCCAACTGATTTAAATGTAAGAAACTTGGCCATTAAATAAATTCGCAGGCCCAGAATATTAATTAAATCAGAAACTTGATATGTGCCAAAAAATAACAAAACAGGCTCAACCGAATCTGTATCCAACCTAGGGTTTTCAGAACACCCTCAAACATGTTTACTCAGCCGTCAAAACCAAAAAACGGATCTGAGACCAAATCTAGAAAAAAAAATTGTTCCACCAAAAATNCCATTAAATAAATTCGCAGGCCCAGAATATTAATTAAATCAGAAACTTGATATGTGCCAAAAAATAACAAAACAGGCTCAACCGAATCTGTATCCAACCTAGGGTTTTCAGAACACCCTCAAACATGTTTACTCAGCCGTCAAAACCAAAAAACGGATCTGAGACCAAATCTAGAAAAAAAAATTGTTCCACCAAAAATTTCGAAAATCTTTAAACAAAAATTTAGAATACCATAACCTTTTGAACAATATTTTTCCAGCAATAAATCTTAAACTTTATTTAGATATAAATCCAAACATGTTTTTCATTAGACAATAACTAAAGATTTAGATCTAAACATGCAAAATTCAGATCTAAGACAAAAGAAACAAAAATAACCACAAATCCCATAATTCTATATTCAACCTTAGAGAAAAATCAGATTCAACAATTCAATATTTTCACACAATAATTGAATCCGAATTTAAATTAAAATCTTGAATAAATTCGAATGTACTTTAGATCCAAAAAGAAAATCAATATGGTGCTCTGATACCAATTGTTAGTATTTATTCTTATGATTCATCAACATGAATCCTTTAACCATATGATTCTCTAATTGAATAGACATAAGCGGAAGCGTACCTGATGTATCCATAGCTTTTAGGATCTGAGGTTAGGGAATGGATCTTCCAAAGCAAATCCTATATGACTTTAGTTCTCTATTGATGGGATATAGAGAGTTCCTTATTTTCGGCTAGGATTGCCTTGGGGACCATAACCCTTTTATATATAATATTAATTTCTAGTTCAGCCCTTCATTAAACTAAAAATTACTTAAGGTATTCACATATAAATATTTCATAACACTTATGTCCAAGCCTTTTCCTTATTCACAAAAGCAACCAATTATTTAGGCTAATTAATTAATGGCCCTATCACATATCTCTATAATATTATTTGAGAAGTCACTTTCTTAGGTGTCGCCCTCACGTTAACTCTCACGCTGGTTGATTACTATGATACCCCTAATAAATTAAAAATATAATTAAATATTATTTCCTTTTTAAAAATTTCCAAATAACAATATAAAATAAAAAGGAAACATTTATAAAATTTACAAAAATATTTAAAAACTAAATTATAAGTATATATAATATGGTTTAATAAAAAAAGGAAAGTTCACAAAATAGTAATAATTAATTTAAATATATTTTAAGTAACATAAAATATACCTTTGAAGTAATAAAATACTTTATATCTATATCTTCTTAGATAAAAAAAAAAACAATATCTGTATATAATGAGATTTCATATGAAAAAATTCACACAAAAAATATTGCTATTAGAAAAAGAAATATTTTTTCCTTAAAAAATAATTTTAAACAATAAAATATATATATTTTCAAAATAATTATGATTACATAAAATAATCAACTAACATAATCTGATATATGTTTAACTGACATTTTTTTATAATTAGTATTATTGAAATTATTTTTTTAGCATATTTATTTGACTATAATATCTTACAATTACAGTAAAAATATAAATTCTATTTTACTTATATAGTATAATTTCTCAAAAACATTCACTTTTTACTGACTATTTTAAGAGATACTAAAAATAAAACTAAAAATCAACTTAATGATAAACATCTTTTGATCAAGTAACTACAATTATTTTAAAATATCATAACACTATATAATTTAACGAGGTAGATATATTATATTTTAATAGTTAAAATTATATGTTCTAAGAATAAGGATTCTGATTTACTTATGTATTTTGATTATATTTATATTAAGTTTCACAAACATAAAAAAAGAAAATAACTACAATTATTTTAAAATACCATAACACTATATAATTTAACGAGGTAGATGTATTATATTTTAATAGTTAAAATTATCTGTTTTCTTAATAATCTTTTGATTTTTAATTTTTTGTTTTTATGTTTGTAAAACTTAATATAACCATAGTCAAATACTTAAGCAAATCAGAATCCTTATTTTTAAAATTATTTAAAATAAATTTCAGTTTACCATCCAAACAATCTAAGGCATAAATTTATTGAGAATTTATAAAATATGTTAACTATTGTAAATATTGATATGTGTTCAAAAACTTATGTATGTAATTTAGAATCAGAAAAAATTCATTAGTTACTTATGTATATAATTTAGAATCAGAAACTTTAGTTTTTATTTTTTTTCCTTCTAAGCACAAAAAAATCTTAAGTTATATATAATCTTACTAAATATACTTATATTTCTAAGATAACAACCAACATAAATGAAAATAAGACAATTAATCAAAAATTTAATATTTTAAAATATAAAAGATAATAGTTGAATTCAGAGAAATAGATAGAATTCAATATATCTAAATGATAACTAAATCGACCGTAGAAACAATAAGACATACTAAATATAACATATTTAAAATTATATATATAATTAAAGTAATATAATATTAGAATATAAATTAGACATATAAACTATAAATTAATTTAAAAATTAAAGTAAATATCAATCAGTTATTATTGTATATTTATTTTATAAATATACATGTCCGTGCATGAGCACGGGAAAATCACCTAGTATACCTTAACATATGTAACCCCACTTAATGATCTTACAGCTAAAACGCTACAACTATAAGGCTAAAAGTTGATGGCTAGAATATCTCACTCGCCTGAAGGAGTAAGCATGTTTATGAGTTGTACATGTCCCGAACTTATATGAAGACAGACAACTCAAATGGATATCAATGTACATGAAGTGATCCTAAGATAAGTTGAACTTGGCTTATCGCAGAACATTCCCACTTAGTTTGAAGTATGTTTAATGTTGAGATAAGGATTATATGATATTTTCGATTAGAATAATTACATATATTGGCTGTTATTTAGATTATATATTTCTGGTATGACAAGGATCTACTTACATTGTATATATAATTTTCCATGTACATGAATAAGAACAGCACTTTTCCATACTCATAATATGGTATCAGAGTAGAATTGAATCTTCGATCCAATTTCCTCAAACGCTTTGATATTTTCCGCTTCCGCATAAATTCCGAAATACTCTTACTACTACAAACTACTCATATTCTTCTGTCATGGCCACGAATTCAGCTTCTTCTACTACCTCTGCTACGAATACTCCAGAGTCCCTGTATACTCTTCATCCGTCGGGTAATCCCAGTGCTTTAATCACTTTGGTTCTCTTTGGCGGAGACAATTATTCAGAATGGTCTACTGAAACTCTCTTCAATCTAAGCAATGGATCAGGTTTATCTGATGGCTCGAGGGACAGCTACAAACTCTATGATTGTTGGCTGGATTTGTAAACCCATTGATCCTACAGTTCACTCACTGTTAATCATATTCCTAGAGCATTCAAGCTTCGGTCATCTCTTCAGTTAAGATTTTTTCTTTAAAAGAAGCGTTCGAAAAATATGATTACTAATTGTAAACACAATGGACAATAATCGGTTCTTGAATATTATATGTCGTCTTTCTAAGATATGAGAGGAGCTTCAGAATGTTACAATTTCTACTACATAGATTAAGCTATATCCTTGTGTTCAAAAAAAAAAAAGAAGCTATATTCTATTCAACTAGTCATCAAACAACTTGAAATTCCAACAATTAAACTTAGACTTAAACCTTACAAAATCCATTCAGGTTTCTAACAAAACAAAAGAACCAAAAAAAAAAAAACAAGATAAGACTAAAACAAAACAGGTGATAAAACTTGATTTGCAAAACACTCCATCGTATCTATAAATTAAGGAACCTGGATCAAACCGGGAGTGTAAACACAGTGACAACACCGGAAAATCCCAGAATCTATATAAATCTGCTTACACAGATCTTCCCTGACAATGTAGATGCAAGGCAGACTAGTTGAATTTTCGCAACAACAAACCAACAGAGTCTTGTCATAGACGAAGTAACTCGTGCCATAATGCTGTTCAAATAGCCTTGGAATGTTAGTTGTTGGCAAAGTCATCAATTTTGTCCACACCACTTCCTTTTTACCGATCTTATTCGTTACCCAAATGTCAATCTTCCTTGTTACATAGCTTTGCTTCAACAACGAAAAACGATCTTCCTTAAAAACCTGGAGAAGAAGTTCATCACGTCTTTTTTCTTTATGACACGGAAGGAGGCAAAAGGGTTGGAAAGTATCCACGGCGAAATCAAAGCTTCGGATGTACTTATTAGAAACCCAATAAAGATTTCCATTCAAGGACACATTTCGTCTAGCTCCAGACATAAGCCACTTACTTATAGGTAAGTCTATATGTTTAAACACGTGAGACGCACACTCGTAGATAGCTACTCTCCTGTACGCTTCTCTACCAGGCACAGCATCGTCAAAGTAACCTAAAATCTTGTAAACTTTATTGTTTCTACCAGTAACCTCGTATCCTAAACCAATATAATGAAACTTTTCAACGCCGTTCTTAATCTGTTTAAACTGGCCCAACCACGGATTCCAGAGAGCTGACAAGACTCTCCCATACCCATCATCGTTACAAAGCAAGAGCTCATCGCAAGCCTTGATGGTGGTGCGACGGTAATGTAGTTCTGGGTAAGGCATATCAGAGTAGGGTAGCTCATGCAACTGTATCGTAGGATCGATGCTGTTGGGGTTGATGATGTCTATCGAATAGTTTTTGGGACTGCCTAGGAAGAGGAATCCAGGACGACAGCGAGAGAAGTGGTTTTCCACGAGAGCGTTCCATCGTTGACATACAGTTCTGAGCCGAACAAGAGATCGAAGTGGAAGGCGAACAAGTATCTCTTCCTCCAGTTCACACGGAAGCTGCTTCGGCGGCGGAGCCATTAGGTCTTCTTTTTTTCTTGCTAAATCTAACTTCCGTAAATTATATAGCTCTTATAAAATGTACTTGAAAAAAATAAGTTGTATTTTGTTTATTATTTTCTTTTGGGAAAATGAATTATTGGCAATAACTTTATCCTTGCCATTTGCCAAACATAGGCAACTCCAACCATGACATACAAAACTAGTGTTGAAAGAAGAAATTGAATTTAATATTTTGCTATTATATTTTATTTTTTTGTCTCTAATTATAACAGAAATCTTTTAAATCTAAGATAAAACTTGATAACATAAAAACTAAATTTTTTTTAAAAAATTGATATCTGTTTTAAAAATGATTTTCGCGTATCTAATTACATTTTCTAACGATTTAATATATAATATTATACTATCAAAAATGAAAATTATATAGTATAATGTATTTGATTTTAGTTACAAAATTTAGCAGTTTAAAAATACAAATTTAACCATGATATTAAATAAAATATAATAATTTCATGTTAAATGTTGGCAATTTTTAATTCAAGAAGCAAAAACTCATGTATAAAGCAAGAGGTACCTCATAGTTCAGAGCCCCCTAGGATCTCCCAAACCCCTACATGCCAAATTGATGCATCATGGATCGATAATGGTAATGTCAGTGGCTTAGGGTGGAGTCTCAAGGATCAAATGGGTTCTGAATGGTTTGGATTACGGGCGTGTAGAAGGAGCCTATCAGCTCTGCATGCCGAGGTGGAAGGCCTATTGTGGGCAATCTCATGTATGAGAGATTTGAGGATGTTTTCGATACGGATTGAGACTGACTGTTCAGATCTAGTGGACATGTCTACTAGACCGGAGGACTGGCATGCTTTTGCGACAGAGATCGAGATGTTTCAGCGACTACGGGAAGACTTCGAGGATTTGAGTCTCTCTCATATTCCGCGGAGTAGAAATGGACGAGCGGATACACTAGCTAAAGAAGCAAGGAGCAGAGGCTATTCTTTTTCCCATATAGATCAGACCCGGCCAGACGGAGTTTCTCCTCGGAGAATCGACTCGACTAGTCACCACTTGATCTAGAGTAAATGGGCGGCTGACAAAAAACAAAGCAAGATGCCAGCCTTAGAGCAACCATATTAATGAACCCCCTTGGGGTTCATAAGTATTTTTTATTATATTTATGGTGGGATCATGAATAGTGATGAACCCGGATGAAACGTGCTCCTCCATCAATGAACCCGAAGTTGGGGTTCATAGGAATAAAATATTAATTTAAAAAAACAAATATTTAAAAAAAAAATTCAGAAGTTTATATTCAATAGAATAAGATCACAAAATAAAAAAAATACTTATTAAATTTTTAAGAAGTCATGAACATTTAAAATATATTTTTTATTTATTTTATAAAAGTTTTTATTCGATACATTGATATTTCATGAAGATACAAAGATTACTAATTGAGATTACCAAACTTTTGCAAAACATATTCAACCAAATCAGCTTTCAAATGAGCATGTGTCTGTGAATCTCGAATTTGATTGCGAACGCCATGCATATTACCGGCATTCAAAGTTGTTGTCGTTTGAACCTGGGAACTTCTGCTTGACTCTCCTATCTCGAACTCAGATGTATCATAAAGAGTGTATGAATGTCGTTCGTCCTCTACTATCATATTGTGTAGTATGACACAAGCTCTCATAATCCTTCCTATTTTATTTATGTCCCATAGTAGAGCTGGGTTTTTAACGATTGCAAACCTCGATTGCAATACTCTGAAAGCCCTTTCGACATCTTTTCTCATGGATTCTTGACGTTCAGCAAATAGCTATGCTTTAGGACCTTGAGGAAGTGGGATGGATTGGATAAATGTTAACCATTTCGGATAAATACCGTCGGTAAGGTAGTACGCCATGCGATAGTTGTGGTTGTTGACCTTAAAATTAACCTTAGGAGCTCGACCTTGTAAAATGTCATCAAACACTGGTGACCGATCAAGAACATTAATATCGTTCAGGGTACCTGGTAAGCCGAAAAATGAGTGCCATATCCAAAGATCGTGTGACGCCACAGCCTCTAAGACAATGGTCGGCTTTCCAGAACCACGTGTGTACTGGCCTCTCCAAGCCGTTGGGCAGTTTTTCCACTCCCAATGCATGCAGTCGATGCTTCCTATCATCCCTGGGAACCCGCGAACCTCACTAACATCGAGTAATCGTTGAAGATCTTCTGCCGTAGGTCTTCTTAGATACTCATCTCCAAACAAATGTATTATCCCTTCGTTGAAATTTTCCAGACATAAAAGTGCAGTACTTTCCGCAAGTCGGAGATATTCGTCATTTGAATTTGCGGATTGACCATATGCCAACATTCGTATAGCTAAAGTACATTTTTGAAGTGCAGAAAGTCCGTACCTTCCATGACCATTTCTTCTTTGCTCAAAGTATGGAACTTCATTACTTAGGCGATCAACAATGCGAAGGAACAAAGCTTTGTTCATTCGAAAACGCCTCCTAAACATTTGAGGTGGGTATGTAGGATTGTCACTGAAATAGTCGTTCCAAAGTTGGATGTGTCCTTGTTCCCAATTTCTTTCGACATAACCTCGCTTTTTTGGCTTGTTGGGTTGACCATCCATAATAGAGTCGATGAAATCATCCACTTGTTAATCGACCATTTCATCAAAAATTTCATATTCTTGATCACTTGATGAGGAAGACATTTTTTGAATATCCTAACCACCAAAAAAACATAATATTTGATGTTAAGATATAATTAAGAATTGTTTAGTATTATTAAAATTCTAAAAAAATGTAGTTATACTTAAAACTAATTCTTCACTTTTATTATACTTTTAATAACATTTTTACCAAATTTTAGTGAAGTTTTTTTTTAAAAAAAACATGTCATCCGCAAGTAGTAGTGACAAACTGGTATTTTATAAACCTATAAATCCAAAAGTTTAATGAAACTGATATTTTATAAATCCAAAGGTTTAATGAAACTGATATTCCATAGTTACTAGTAGTGCAAATATATAATGAAACTGAAATGTAAATACAAGACACAATGGTATTACAAATACTAGGAAACCACCCCGTGCGTAAACGCGCGGGAGAAAAGATGTTTTTTTTAAAGTAATTTTTATATAATTTATATTTGTTAGTCAATCATTTTGAATCATTTAATAAACTAATTATTTTGTACGAAAATCAATACTTAAAAAATAATCTTATATAATAGAAGAGTGAAAGTATAATATGTGTTTGAAAATTTATAAATTTAAATGTTATGTGTTTAGCATAACAATATTAAGTAAACTTTAATATTAAAGTCGTAGTCATTTTATTTTATCTTTTTATATATGAGAAGACAAACTTTTAAATTTGTTGAAATGATGGAACAGTTTAAACCTTTTAATTAAATAATATAATATGTTTTAATACACTGTAATTAACATGCAAAGAACGACATTTTTAAATCTATGACGCTCAGTACCTCCATACAAACTGGGTTAGAAAAACAAAAAAAAANTGTTGAAATGATGGAACAGTTTAAACCTTTTAATTAAATAATATAATATGTTTTAATACACTGTAATTAACATGCAAAGAACGACATTTTTAAATCTATGACGCTCAGTACCTCCATACAAACTGGGTTAGAAAAACAAAAAAAAATGGACTTTATCAGAAGAAGAATAAGAGATTACAAAAAAAAAATAGGTTGTTTTCTTACAGTCAGATTGGTTTGGATATGGTAGTTTAATTTCGCTGAAACTAAACCTATTAAATTATTTTTGCAGACACCACATTAAATTTTTAAAGATCGTTTAAAACTATATAATGAATCAAACATTATATTCAAGAGTACTAAGAATCATACCTATATTAGAAAAAAAAAACACATAAATCTTCTTAAAAAATTGCATCTGTAAAACATTCTATTTATAGTAATCTGAAAAGGTACATTGATAGATTATCAAGAGTTGTGTTTTGTTTTAAAATGAATATTTTCAAGAGTTGCGAGCAAAAAAAAGTTCAACCAAATACATTTTCAGGACCATTAGATAGAACCATAATAATTACAACCACGAGACTGAAACTCTTCAAAAAAAATTTAAAAAATCAAGAATTAGGGAAAAGTATGACTCTTCAAATTAAAGAGGTGTGTTGTTTGAAAAAAAAAACTGCTCATAGCAATTTTAATTTAAGTATATAAAAATATTAAGACCAATAGAAGAAAAAAAAAACAATTATAACCAAAGATTGTAATCCTTCAAATATGAAAAAGTATGACTCTTTGATGTAAAAAGATGTGTTGTTTGAAAAACAAATATGTTAATGCCATAAATATCGTATGTCTAAAAAACATTTCTTAGGACAACTGCATGAAAAACAAAACAATGGTTGAAAAATTGTATCTTTTCATAATAAACTGAAATATATTAGTTTAAAAGTTGCATCTTTCATTATAAAAATAATTGTGTATTTTTTATAAAAAAAAAATTGTTGAAAGGTTGTATCTTTTCATAAGAACCGAATTATATTAGTTTAAAACTTGAATCTTTTTGTTATAAATAGAATTGTCTAGTTTCATAAAAAGTTATCTATTATTTTAAAAGTTTCATCTTTTCATTATTAAAAAAGCTTATGTTTCAGATAAAATAGTTTAAAAGTATTTAAAAGAGGGTATACGAATTGTGTCTTCTCAAAATAACAATTGTTGAAAGGTTGTATCTTTTCATAAAAAAAACTTAAATATATTAGTTTAAACATTGCATCTTTTCATTATAAAAATAATTGTGTATTTAAAAAAATCTATTATTTTTAAAGTTGCATAAAATTTTTATTTGGACCATTAGATGAAAAACAAAACAATTATTGAAAGGTTGTATCTTTTCATAAGAACTGAAACATATTAGTTTCGAAGTTGCATCTTTTCATTATAAACTATTGTGTCTCACAAAAAATAATTTAAAATAGTTATAAGAGTTGTGTCTTCTCATAATAAAAATCTACTAA